GGCATCCCCTCCGTCGGTAGAGAGGTTGCCGTCGTGGTCGGTAGCGACAGACTTGAATCCCGGCACACCCTGATGGAAAAGGTTAAATACTCGCTGAAAGAGTGCGGGATTAGGCCTTCATTCCTCGACGTGCGCTCCCTTTCGGGAGGCAAAACCAGATTCTCCTTCGCCGACAAGCCGACGGCGTCCAGATTCATGGACGCCGTCAACTATTATAGAGACGATACACACCTTCGTGCGGAATGGCAGAAATCCATCAGACCTTCGGTCATCATCAAGGGGAGTCCCCGGCACGTGCCAGCCCAGGGATCTCGCATCGGTCGTCGCCGCGCAGAACGAGTGGCTCGACGTTCGGCGCGAAGATGACCTTTTACTCCAGTACACTATTGCCAACCGCAATCCGGGCAGATATAACGCTGTTATGTCGATCGTTCCACGGCTGTGGGAGACACTCATGTGCGGCGGGCACGTCAAGATCGGCCAGCATCAGGTCTACGTCGATTCTTACACCAACTTCAAGCAGTGCATTAGATGCCACCAGTTCGGTCACACGGCAGGGCGCTGCGACGCTCCTCCGAAGTGCGCGCACTGCGGCGGCGTCGACCACGACCTCGGGGACGTCTGCCCCCGCATCAACGACCCGCCCACTTGTAGTAACTGTAGAACTGCTGCACTTTTTACCAACTCGAATAGAAACCCACATGACCGCACCTACATCGACAATATCAATTTTCATCACAAATATAACAGCGATACCTGTCCTCGCAGGAGGTCTATGATACAGAAAATTCAAGACAAGACTGATTATGGCCAATAATCCGAGAAACGTCAATTCCTTTGTCATACCCAAATATTTGTTAGCGCTGCAAATTAATATGGACAGGGCTCGGTGCGCGTTCCACGAGTAATGGGTGCAGCGCCAAGGGTATGGGAGGCACTGTCGTGTTCCAGACCGCCGCGGGGGGGGGGGGAACCGGTCAGGGCGGCCCTGTACATGGGCGATCTTCTGGCTCACAAGCTGAGAGCCGTCCTGGTCTCGCAGCTGTCTTCCCCCGACCTGGCGGTGGTCAGGATGGACATTGCGGGCAATGCGTGGTACCTCGCGTCGATCTACCTGCCCCCGCGAGGGGACCCCACCGACACGCTCGAAAAGATGGAACGCCTCCTCCGGATCAACTCGGAGACCGCCCGGGAGCGGAACAATATAATCATCGCGGGGGACTTTAATGGATGGCACCCCACTTGGAATATGACCGGCGCCATCAACCCCCGAGGCCGCATGGTAGACGAGCTGCTCGCCCAGTACGGACTCGTATGCCACAATGACGGGAGTGTCACGTTCCGTACCATCACCCACGGAGCGGAGAGACAGAGCTCCATCGATCTCACCATCTCATCGGGTGGGGCTTCCCGCTTCGTGAGCGATTGGCATACCGACGAGGACAGCGTACTATCCACGCAGCACGTGCCGATAAAGTTTAAACTTAGAGTGAGCAATACTGGCGCGAGAGGGCACTTCCCCACCGTACAACCCGGATCCGGCCGGTCCACGTATAGGTACAGGATCGATGAAACGGCGAACTGGAACCGGTTTAAAACACAATTGATCAGGATCTGCGCTGACCTCCTTCCCGATACCGCTCCCTCCGACATCGGCGAGCTCGACGAAACAGGTTTGGATGAGTTCGCCCGGAAGCTCACCACCGTCGTCAATTTGGCTGCCGACGCTTCGTTTCCAACCCGCGGTAGAGACGGTGGTTCTGCAGCGGTGTCTGTCGGGAGAAGGAACACCTCCTTCTGGAATTCGAGATTGGAGGCGCTCAAGCGTGGCCTGATAGCGAGGAAGAGAGAAGTGCGGCGTCTCGCGCGCGACGGAAGGGCGAACGCTCGTGACATTGCCTCGGCCTGGGCGGACCTCGGGGATCGCACGCAGCAGTACCGGGACGCCATTAGGGCCGAGGCCGCCGCGAGCTTTCGCCGCTTTTGCAGTGGCATGAGCCTCGAGGAGATATGGACCGTCACCAATCCGGTACTGCGGGCGACGGGCAGACCTGCCCCCCCGCCATCTACACGATTGAGGCGGCGAGGCGGCGCGGCAGACCTTGCGTCGCAGTTTCGCTCGATATTAAGGCCGCCTTCAACTCGGCGTGGTGGCCCGCCATGTTAAACAACCTCGCGAACGCCCGGTGCCCGGCGAATTTGTACCGCCTCGTCCGCAGTTATCTCGCGGACAGGCGGGTGCTGCTTAACTACGTCGGGGCGACCGCCGAAAAGAGGATGAGCAGGGGCTGCGTGCAGGGGTCGACGTGCGGCCCCTCCATGTGGAACATGGTAATCGACCCCCTGCTAAGAATGGACCTTCCGGGCGACGCTCGTCTGCAGGCGTACGCGGACGACCTTCTTCTCGTCGTCTCGGCCCGAGACACCGCTCGACTCGAGGCCGACGTGAACGCCTGCCTGAGAGCGATCGAGAGTTGGGGGACCGACAACAAACTCGCCTTCGGTGCCGACAAAACTAAGGCCCTAGCGTTCTCCCCGAAGGCAGCGCGCGCTGAGATATATATGGGTGGCAGACGTGTGACCTTCTCGCATCACATGAGGCTCTTGGGGGTCATCATTGATAATAGATTGAAGTTTGGCGAGCACGTCAGCCACGTCATAAAAAAGGCGCAAAGACTGTATCAGCGTCTGAGCCTGTTCGCGCGCCCCTCTTGGGGTCTCGACGTCGACATTGTGGAAACGATCTACAAACATGCGATCGTGCCCACCATCACCTATGCGGCCGGAATCTGGGGGAGGGCCGCTCGGGTGGCGACCCACAAGAACAAGCTGCTCGCCGCCCAGCGTGGTTTCGCCATCCGCGCTATTAGGGGCTACCGAACAGTCTCTACGGTGGCCGCCAGCGCGCTCGCGGGCTTCGTCCCCCTTGATATCGAGGTCGCTAGGGTAGCCGTGGTGGACGCGGCGAGGATCTCTTTATTCTCACCCGGCTTGGCGTCCGAGCGGATGGACGGCGACGGCGACGAGGACGACCCCTCTGCTGACGGAGAGCCCTCTGGAATCGGTGAACGCGTAAGGAGGAGGAACGCGAATGGAAACGCACGTCGCGCCGGGACGATGCGAGACGCACTCGACGAAGACGAACGAGTCGGCGCGGGTGCGGGAGGAGCCGACGCCCGCGCCGTCTCTCCCGCCCCTCCCGCCATTCCCGACGCCGCCGCCGCCGCCACTGTTGCCGCCGCCATCGAGGGAAGAGTCCCCGTCGGCCGACTCGCCCACCCTGCGCTTAGAATATCGCCCGATTTTAAAATCATACCTAGTGAGAGCAGACTACGGCAGATAATCCCGAAGGGTGCGTGCGTTCTCTACACGGACGGGAGCAAAACACCCGTACGCGAGGGGGACTGGCGCGGCGAGACGGGGGCCGCGATTGTCATCGAGGAGGCGAGCGTGGGTCATGAATCCGCCCCCCCTTCTTCGCGTACACATCTGCGACCATCGATCTCGACACCGGCGTCTTTACCCGGGTTCGCGCCCGCACCCTCGTTTTCGCTCCCGCCGGAGCGTACCCCCATCTCGCCGCCGCCGCCACCGCATCCGACGCCGCAGACACCGGCCCGGCTTCCGGCCCCGGGTTCGGCGCTGAGTCTTCGTGGGACGCGGGAGTACCGCCTCGGCCCGCTATGTTCCAACTTCCAGGCCGAAGCGCTCGCTTTGGAAAAAGCCTGCGACTTGGCCACGGCGGCGACCGAGTCGGGCCGTCCTGCGTGGATCTGTTCAGATTCGCTCTCCACCTTAATGGCTATACAGAACAGGAGCTCTACGCACCCCATTATACATAATATACATCGCGGGCTGATGCGCGCCCCCGTCCATGGCCCTTCGATCAGGTTGGCATGGGTGGCGGCCCACAAGGGGATCCACGGCAACGAGCTGGCGGACGCCGCCGCGAAAAGGGCGGCCAGGAACCACCTCCTCCCCTTGGCGTACGAAGCCGCCCCCATGTCGGCCGTCAAGAATCGTTCCAAGAGATGGGCCATGAAGGAGTGGCGCGCCAGATACGAGTCGGCCGAGACGGGCGCGCGTACGAGGGAACTCTTTCCTACCCTCGGTGAGCTCCTGGCCTTCAGGAATATTCACAAAAACGATTTCTACACTACGCAGTTTCTCTCCGGGCACGGGGCGCACCTGGAATACCTCGCGCGGTTCGGCATCGCCGATACCGACAGGTGTCCCTGCGGGGTGGGCAGCATACAGACTCCGGACCATCTGTTGAGAGAGTGCACCCGCTTCCAAGAGCCCAGGAGAGAATACGTACAGGAGTGTAGGTTCCTGGGGGCCGACGACCCCTTCGAACTCAAAACCTTCGCTGCACACCGCAAGGGCGAGGCCTTAGCCGAAAAACTGGCGACTTTCATCAGGAAGGTTTACACCGAGCTCAGAACTTTCAATGAGCGGGGCGGCAGTTCCGCGGCATCCTCCGCTGCCGTCACCTCGCCGTCTTCATTCTCTTCCCTTCCTGCATCGCCGTCGCCGTCGTCGCCGCCGCCTCCGCCTCGTTCGCCCGAGGGAAGCATCGATCGAGCCGGCGGCGTGGACCCGCCCCGTTTACGTCGCAGCGATCGACTTCGTGATCGCGCCTCGCCGAACTTATCCAGTCGCGGCCGCCGTTACCGTTCCGAGTCCGACGCCGACCTTGTTGTCGGCGGCGATCATCACTCGGACCGACCGCCGCGACGATCGCGATGGCGACGAATACTTCATCGTTCGGATTCGGACTCGGACGCGCGGCCCGTTTCGGGCCCGATATCGAGTCGATCTACATCGCCGCTCACCTTTTTGGCATCGTCCGTTCTCGGCTCACCGTCGCCCTCGTCGTCTTCGGCGCGGCCCCCGGCCCTCCGTCTCCGCTATTTCAGCGCCGTCGGTACCGGCCGTCCGCTGCGGCCGCGTCGGTCGCGTTCGCTATCTCGGGTGTCGTCGCCCGCTTCGGGGTTGGGGCCGCGGTCGCGGTCCGCGCCGCGGGCGGCAGCTTCGTCGCGACGGTCGGCGACTATGTCGTCGCCGTCGACTCTATCTTCGCACTCGAGGTCGACCCGAGCGTTGTCACCGTTTCGATCCGATCCCGAGCTTAGGTCATCGCTATCATCGGACGAAACGAGCCGGGTTAACGGAAGCGAAAACGATCGAATATTTGCAAGATCGAACACGACGCCCCGAGAGTCCGATTGACGTGAGCCGGATAGCGGGCCCTTGAGACACGCATATCTTCAACACACCTCACTACACACACTTCGTCGATTTCTTTGCTGAATCGATCAATCAATGTACTCAACGCGGCCTGCCATCGTCTCGATGATATCGATTATCACATTCACGTAGCACTTTACATGCGAGCGCTAGCAGATGAGCGACTATATCGCGCGCACAAATCAGTTGATTACATTCAGTTAATTATTATCACGATCAAGCAATCATTTGTTCGATTTGATTATTCTTAGATATTCTGAACGTATACTATAAACTTGTGAATGAATCACCACTTGCTAAAAATCTCAGTGTTAGAGCCAATTTTTCTTGAACAGGTATCGCTTTTCTAAACTTTGTGTCTCTAGTTTGTATTTGAGGTCCAATCAAATTTAACAGATATTCAAAATCTGTACTCGCCATACGCGTGAAGTTCTTGAAATGTCCACTGATCTCTTGAGACTTCATATCCTGTATTAAATTAGATCTATTTCTATTTTTAAACATTTCACTTTGCCAGAAACGACGTAGGCTTTTATAATTGTCAAGGATATTGTATATCAAAATGAACGCAGCGCTAGCCACCATTTGAGACATGTTGTCGGCTTGATATCGCCACGAGCACTGCGGATCCGGGAACTCGTAGCTGGATACGCGGTGACTGTGGACGAGTCGTACCCACTTGTGGATTGATACAGTATCAGATACGTTACATGCAACATGGTTAGGTGAGTACCTTGCTTTACAAGCACTTTTGAATTGTCTAAATTTTTTTTTCTCTACCACTTGAGAGGTGCCTAACCATAACGTTGTAAGTGCCCACCGGGCTGAAATACATTTTATTGCATTAGGGCGTTGTATGTGCCGGCGATTACTTGCACATGAAAGTTCGAGGACTACTAACGACATCTAGTATTAATTTTGTAAAACTGCAAGCCATAACGTTTTATGTGCCAAACGAGCTGCAAATATTAGTTCGTTCAAAATGTCGGCGGGAGAAGGTGCGTCAACGTCAAAAAAAACGTATTTTACATTAAGATAACTGGAAAAAAACTATAAGAAAGTCTAGAAGAAACAAGGGTTTGAAGTACGTGAATACAAAAAATCAAGAAATGGGTGAAAAAATCGAGCCCAATGAGGTACGTGTGAGAAAAAAAAAAACCTATTTTGTTAAACAACATTGACTTAGTTTGTACTTTTTTATAATTATATTATTCACTTCGTTATAGGTTTCTTGCAAATGTCAGTTTGCCTGTACATGTTTGACATTGGAATGCCGTAAAAAAATATTTCATGATTTCTGGAAACTTGGAAATTATGACGAACAGCAGATTTACCTAAAAAGTTTTATTCGGCTCTGTTTAATAAACAGAAGGAGACATGGAACTTATGACATTGCAACCAATAGCAGTCGACAACATACATTCAAATACTATCTTTTAATTAGAGGCATTTCGGAAGTTCAGGTAAGCGTTACTGTTCTTTTTTATTTTGTATTGATGACTTCAACATAGTATATTTTCAGCAGTTAGAAGCTCTTTTTATTTACATTTTAGGTGTGTAAGAAGACGTTTTGCGAAACTTTTGGTATCACTCAACGTCGTGTGCAGATACTATCCGAAAAAATTGTTAGTAACGACGAACCTGTAAAAGATAAACGTGGTGGGAAATGACAAAAACGCGATCCTCAATGGAAAGAAAAGATTATCGAGTACATAAAATCAATACCAGCTCAAGAAAGCCATTATAGTCGAAATGACTTCGACAGAAAATATCTCCCAACAGAACTTGGTGTGTGGTCAAACTATACAAAGGATTTCTAGAAAAGCACCGAGATGGTAAGCCGGCAGTATCTAGGCAATGGTTTAATGAAATATTTTTGACGAAGTTTAATCTTTCATTCAAGCCTCCGCGAGTTGATACATGCTCGACGTGCGACTCTTCTAAAATCGAAATAGATACTGCTGTATCTGAAGAAAAAAAGATCTTGCTAAGCAAAAATTGGATTTTCATCACAAGCAAGCTGAGTTGGCCAGAAAAATGATGAATGAGGATGGAGCCAACTCTAGATGCCCTGATTCAGATGTTCGAACGGTTCAGTTTGATCTCCAGCAACAGATGTACCTTCCAACATTGACTCATACACAGATGTACTACAGTCGTCAGCTTGCGTTTGTCAATATGGGAATTCACTTGGAGGACGAAGGAAGGGGCATCATGTTTCTCTGGAATGAAACTGTTGGGCAAAGAGGATCCAACGAGATCGCTTCTTGTCTTTACAAGTTTTTTACTTATAGTGAAATCGGGTACACTACACATAAAAAAAAATTAATTTTGTGGTCCGATAACTGTGGCGGACAAAACAAGAACCAAGCTGTACTAGCTATGCTCCTCGTTTTAATTGCAAAAGGTTTCTTTTCGGAAATTACTCATAAATTCCCTGTGAAGGGTCATACATTTCTTGCTTGCGATCGAGATTTTGCGATCATTGAAAAAGCGAAAAAGTGTGCAAAGCCACTGATTCCGAAAGATCTTATTGAGCTCATTGCAAATGCTGCCAAAAAAAAAACCATTCTTGGTAGTGGATACTAAAACCTTTTTTAATTGGATGGATACGGCAAAAAGTATGATGAATACAAAAAAACTGCAGATATCTTCGGCAACAATGATTAACCTGACATCTGCAGATTTTGGTGTAATTCGCACAAAAAAAAGTTATGGCGACTTTGCACCATGGACGTCGACACCAGTGCTTAAACATGGAATCACGAAGTCTCATTTTGAGAACCTAGAAGTTGACATGGTCGAGACACCTGTACTCTTGTCTGCTGAGAAAAAAAAAGACATCAATGGCATGTTGCCATATTTAGCCGGGGAGAGTAGATTGTTCTATGAAAATATTTTAAAATAAAGATTTTCAAAAAAACAATTTGCTTCCCCTGCATTTTCACATTTCAAGTGTTGATTTATAATTATTTTTATGTAAACTATTTCAAATAAAGACCTTAAAAGTGATGCGGTATAATTATTTTTATAAAAAACTTTTAAAATTAATACATTTAAAAGTAGTAGGGTAATATTGGGCATTCTGTCCCCCACTCGTTCGTGTCGACGTTTTGCCGCCACTCACTCATGGAATGACAGTATGCCCAATATTACAAATAGATATTACATTCATTTGATGACGGTTTTTTGACGAAAATCCATAAAATGTTTCTGATTACTCGCACTTTATATAAATAGTCAAATTTGTACAAATTGACTCACTTTATCTAGGACACCCGAAAGAATTGCTTACTACTATGAAATTTATAAAACAATCTGAAACGTTGCAATTGGATAGAATTTGTTCAGATACTGAGACAGTTATTTCTCGACATGGAAACTTGCTTCCTAATTCAGTTCGGTGTTTAGTTTGCGGTCCATCAAACTGTGGAAAAACAAATTTAATAATAGGTCTTCTGTTGCATGAAAATGGATTACATTTTAAGAATGTATATTTATACTCAAAAACACTGTATCAAACTAAGTACATTTATTTAGAGAACGTCTTTAAATTGCTACCTAGTGTTACGTTTGCAAAATACAGTGATAATGAATTGATTCTCAGTCCACATGATGCTAAGCCCCATTCTGTAATAATTTTTGATGATGTTGCTTGTGAGAATCAAACTAATATGCGAGATTATTTCGCTATGGGCAGACATAAATTTATTGATTGTTTTTACTTAAACCAAACATATAGTAAAATACCAAAACAACTAGTAAGAGACAATGCAAACCTTATAATATTATTTAAACAAGACGATATAAATTTACGACATGTATATGATGAACATGTGAATACAGATATGTCGTGGTCAGAATTTCGGGAAATGTGTTCAAAAATTTGGAAAGATACATACAACTTTTTAGTTATTAATAAAGATTGTGCAAAGAATGACGGTTGCTACAGAATGAACTTCGACACCTTCGTTACTTTCGATGAGTAACAAAATAAAGTTACTTTCAATCTAGAACACAATTCATTTAAGAAGTAAAGCTATAAGATACAACACGTTGCATAACTCAAGCTACTGTTCTTTCAAAATGGAAATGGAATTAAAAGCTGAGGTTGTTCGAGCTGCAGAAGGTGTTAAAAAGAAGCTGAAGGAAATGCGTATGAGGGAATCTTATCAAGAAAACATGTTAAATACAGTTTTTCAACCCATCACTAAACCACTTCATCAAATAATTCATCATAACACAAATCCTTCAAAATCTAACAAATCTAAAGTCCATGAAGTACCTAAAGAAGACAATTTGAATACAGACTCATATTTTAAACGTAACGATTCCATATCCGAGTCCCATGATAGCGATTCTGATGACAATATTGATGAAAACAGTTTCGATGGTCAAAATAAAAATAATACAAGCGATACATCGTTTGCAACAGTCGAGTCCGTCCATAGTCCTAACCGAGATGCTTTGTCTTGGTCATTATCTTCGGAAGTATTTGAGGATGTGCCATTTGGTGTCAGAAGAGAACGAGGTAAACTATTGATGGGTAACTCACGTGTGGAAGTTCACGAGGAGAATATATCCGTAGCAGGTCGAGTATACAAGAAAACTCCTGGATTATATGAACTTTTGTTCAAGAGAGTTCCTGAATTAAATTTGGTTACAGAAAAAGATTCCCAAGTATATAAAGCATTGTTGTTAGAAACAAATGCTCATCGAAGAGATTATGATCCAAATAAACCAATAAAAACTAATCGAGGTCGAAAGTATTTGCAAATTATAAAACCGCTGTTTAAGTTACGTAAACCGTCAACATCTTCTGTTTCTTCTAGAACAGAACATTTAAGTGAAGGAGAAGGGTTAAGACTTAAGAAAAAGTTTAAGAAATATACTGATTATATTTATTGGGATGATCCTAATGAGTTAGTTGAAAGATTAAAATTACTGATAGCTTCTAAAGAAGCAGGAAATACTGGAGTAGAAAATGAAATAATTTCTATTATTGAAGAATTACGTGAAAACGGAATTATAAAATAGTTGTCATAGTTTATTGTTTTTTATTTACACACTCTCCCTTGATTGCATCGGATCTCTAATTAATAAAAATGAATATTGATAAATTCGGGCATCATGTCCACAAAAGGCTACGTTTGTCTGAACTGTTAGATTTTAGGGAAAACTCTTTAATGAAATCAGAAAGTGGGTGTTTTAATTTACAATCATCTAGATTAACTGGAGTCAACACACCTTTGGAAAAGGATGACGCTGTCAATAAACAATACGTAGATGAAAAAATTGCAACCTTGTGCACGAAGCATGAACTGCATGTTTGGATTGAATCAATAAAAGCTGATATCACCAACAAAATAAAACAGTTTGAAGAGAAGTTTAACACTAAGAGCTTGAATGAACAGAATGTAACCAACAGAAAAAATGGTCAAGCTCCAAGTAGTAAAAGAAATCCATAGGTCTGCACGTAAAAACTTTATTCGAAGATCTGTTGTACTAAAAGGCATTAATGATCTATGGCAAGCAGATCTAATTGATTTTAAATCTTTAAAAAAATATAACAGTGGTTACACATATATTTTAATTGTTATTGATTGCTTTAGCAAATATGCATGGGGTATTCCCTTAAAGTCAAAATCGAGAAAATGTGTGGTTAATGCGTTTAAGAGAATTCTCAAAACAAGTGGTCAATCTCCTGTTCACTTACAAACTGATATGGGAACAGAATTTTACAATGAATCATTTAAAGAACTAATGCAGTCACTAAATATAAAGCACTATTCGACTTACTCTACAAAAAAAGCATCTATTGTTGAAAGATTGATAAGAACATTAAAGAACAAATTGCATGTATCTTTTAGCTATAACGGTAGTTACAAATGGGTGGGAAAGACTTTAGAAGATGTTTTGAATACTTATAATAATAGCAAGCATAGTGTCACTAAACATAAACCAGTTAATGTAAATTCGATAAATGAAACAAAGGTTAAGAATAACATCGAAAAGTTTTTTAACAGACGAATTAAATCACATAGGAATAAATTTCAAATAGGTGATTTTGTTAGAATAAGCAAATACAAAAGCAGTTTTGAAAAGGGTTATACACCGAATTGGTCAACAGAATTATTTATTATTAAA